TAAGAGGGTATAACTATCAACTGTGAAAGCAAAGAGCACAAAACCAAAAAGTGGCAAGGGGCTTCAAAAAGTCACGCAATGGTCATAATACAAAATAACATGTCATTGCCAAAGCACTAAATATTTTTTAAAGAGCAGAGTTCTTTTTTTCTTTTTGGTTTTGTTTAAATTGTTATCATTGTTTCAAATCTGCCACAATGTTTTACAATTCATTGAATAATTGCTTGGCTTAATTCTGTCACATCAACTGATAAAGCTCATGTAAAAAAAAATTAATAATAATCAGAATCGATCCAAAGGAATACAAAAACGACATAAAACTGGAGTTTCTTTCGCCCCACAAAGGGTGACAACCAGACCAGCTTTCCAAATGAAAAAAGGGTCCATAAAACGAAGTTGAAGTAACATAGCAAGTTCACTAATCCAGTATTGCAATTCAATGTTTTAACCCTCTGTTGATTCATTGCTCATTGTCGTGTTGTTCGTCGGTCAGCACCTGATCACAGTCTGACATCTTCCTTCTGAACGGGTTTTTATATTTCTTTGTATTTTGGATGAACAACTACAAGGAAAATAAAATAACATCTTAAAAGGAAATCATTTAATCCGTTCTCAGAAAATATATAGATATATTTTTTTTTTAAACGCGCTTCCTCGACGCGCTTGCCCCTGTCATTCTGTCCTTCCTTCCATAGACGTTACAAAAAGAAATCCATACAGTAAACATATTGGATTCAAACCTAAACAACTCTTCACAATTCAAACTATATCTATTATTTGGTTACAGAAATACCGAAATAGATGTTTTGAAAAAAAGTAAATATGTACGTGGAGCATGCGTCGCACACACACCACTTGTTGGTCACACACACACCACACGTTGGTCACACACACACACCTCATTGTTCACACACACACAACTTTTTGGTCACAAACATACACACTTCGTTGGCGACACACACACACCACTCGTTGGTCACACACACACACACACACCACTCGTTGGTCACACACACACACAACTCTTTGCTCACACACACACACACTTTATTACAGACACACACACACACCACTCGTTGCACACACACACACCCACACCCCCCCACCATCACACACAC